GCCTCGCCCTGAAACAGCTTGCCAGTCCCTGTTCCACCAACAACCTGCACGGCTGTCTCAGCAGAGAACAGTTAATAATTAATGCGGAGCAATCAGAGACAATTAAGCATAGTAGCAGGGCCACTAATTTTCTAATGAGGGGGCAGGAGCCTGGACAGGGGGTGGTTTCCTGACATACAGGGCTCCCTGGGCACGTGCTGGAGACCCACTTTCCTCCCCAGGACTACATTTTGAGGTAGCAGCCACCGGCAGGGCAGGGGTGCATCTCCCCCCGCCAGCCCCACAAGCGGCAAGATAATTAGTGTTGCCAGGCCAGCAGGTTTACCTGGGCTAAGGGGAAGGGATTCAGTCCTGCCTCACCCGATGTGTGCTTAAATGGCTGCGTGCAGCTATTGCAGCTGGGTGCTGCCTGCCTGTTTCTCTCTCCTCCTGGCTCACAATTTCCAAGAGCCGGTTGTTTTCTTGTTCAGATGGGAATGCTGGCTGGGACAGCCATGGCTGTCGGGAGGAGCAGGACAAGGGGCAGCTCTCCATGCTTGATCTGTATCCAAGGATTTATCTCTGCATCCCACTCTGCCTTCCTGGGATGAGGAGGGGGGAGAGTGAGCCAAGAGCTGCAGCTCGGATGCCCCTGCCTGTGTTACTGTGTCTGTTTGCCAATGTCAGCCATGTGTGAAATGAAAAGAGGAGGGAGCTGGCTGCTCCCAACTGGGAAGGGACAGCGAAGGGACCCTCCTCCCCACCCTGCGCCCTCCTTACCAGGGCCGCCTGCGCACATCGTAGAGGTCGATCTTATTGGGGGCTCTCCATGGGGTGGCTGTGGGGAGAAGGCAGGTAGTGAGTGAGGTGGGTGACAAGGGGATGGGACAGAGCGATGCCCAGTGCCGAGGAGTCGGCAGGCTCCAGCTGGGAGCTCACAACAACGGGCTTTGGTTACACGTGCCAGGCAGTCCCCAGAGCTGGTAACGGGGAACGCTTGCCCTCATCTCAGGGTGAGAAGCACCTGGGCTGCCCTTGGTCAGCCCCCCAACACCAGCACCAGCCCCCTGGGAACACCCCCACCACGCACCAGGGTAGTAGCGGGTGACGCCGGTGGCGCTGCCAAACACCTGCCAGAGCAGGGAGGGATCCTCCTTCCGGTTCTCAATGAAGACGTCCTCCAGCGCCTGCGTCCAGTTCAGCTCGTTGAGGATGACAGTGGCT